GGTGCTGGCGGGGGGGTTTGCAAGCAGGGATGGCAGCTGAAGTTGTAATCCTATTCCCTTTTTTATGTGTGCCAACTTTGGGTGTGCCGTCACCACCTCCATCTTGACTTTTTTGACTGGTGGCTCCCCTGCGGCTGGCATTTGGAGCTAAGCTGCCCGCAGCCCAGACATAATGGTAAATCTTCGAAGCTGATCTCCCTCGATAGACCTGTTTCTTGAATTTATGCAGTCCTTTTTTGAAACCACCCAGCTTACATCTTGCAGCAATGAGTTCCACAGGTGAATTAATAGACTGCATGAAGAAATGTTTTCATTATACGTTTCCTATTAGCCGGCTCCTGGTTCTGTTGTTGGAGAGAGGGAGAAAAACCTCTCCCCTTTCACTTTTCCTGGTTTATGCATGATTTGATACACCTCAATCATGGTCTCCCCCTGCAAACTCTTTCTTTTTTCCAAGATAAGGAAACCAAGCTAATTGCAAAATTGGGAGGCTGATATAAAACTTGATATGTGCTGGGTCTGTTTGCCCACGAACAGAGTCTTAACATTCTGGTTCTTTGGTAAAAATCATGGGAAACTCTGCTTTTGTTGCTGTAATCAAAACAACATCCCTAACTAAATATTTATTCTAAATGGCACAGGAAACTGCCATCAAGTACCTGACAGATGGCTGCTTGTTAAGGCAGATCTTGGCCGACCCGCATCTGACCCAGTACAGCATCGTTGTTCTTGATGAAGCTCACGAGCGAAGTCTCTGCACGGTGAGTGCTAATGAAACAGGCAGATGAAGAGTTGTTTCTCTGGGCTGGCTGGGGCAAGGAAGCTCAGCCAGCCAGCCAGTTATTCATTCATTCATTTAAGCAATGTTGGCGCTTTGCTGTGTGGCCCCATCAAAAAGGGTGCCCTAGATCTGAAAGACACAGCACAAAAAGAAGAGGGCGTGGGAGGGAGAAGGAAAACTGTAGGCTTAGATGCTAGCTCTTAGTGCAGAAAAGAGAATGCAGCCAAGGTCAAAGCAAAACTTTGATACGTGAGACAGTTTAGATTCCACCCCCACCCCGACATAATATTCTTTCCAAAAGACAGGACGATAATGGTCTGTTGGGGGATCAAAAAAGTCTGGATGGTTCCCATGTATACAAAATATATTATGCAGCATGGCAAATATAAAAAATTACAGCATGGTTTCTGAGGAGGCCTAAATGTTTATAAACACCACAAATTGGTAGAGGCACAAGAAGAGGGAAATTAGAAACCAAATAGATTTTTAAGCTTTCTCTTTATTGTTGTTTATTTTTGTATTTGTTTTTTCTTAATGTGCATAAACAACTGGGAGAGTACAGTGGGCACCTTAGTATTAAGCTTAAGATAGAAACCTTTATGATATAATAAATAATTTAATGCCTTTTGCAGCTGTTTATCCATGCCACATCCAGCTTTGCATGTCAAATTTAAGCACCCTTGCGCTTATCAACATTAACATTTTAGAAAGCATAGTCCATATTGACATAAACTTTCTTTGGATCTTGAGAGGTTTAAATTACCTAAATATCAGAGTGTTAATAAACTCCAAGCAACGCTATATAAATAGCACCATACCCAAATAATGTAATGCACTACTTGTGTTTTATAATAATACAATAAAACAATATAAAAAAGGGGGGGGAGTCAGGTTGCTGTCATGACCGGAGCCTTGCGTCATGTTTATGTGCATCTCAAGTGTGAAGCCCTGAAAAGGGGCGGGGCTTCAATTCCATGGTGGCGGGTGCCGTTTTGATTTTTTTTACCCTCCCACGGGAGGGGTAAACCCATTGGGGGGAGATGGGCGGTTGAAAAATTTAATAAATAAATAAATAAAATAAATAAAAATTCCCCTGGTCCGTTCCCTTCTAGAGTGTGCAGTGCTACAGTCCCAGTCTTTCTTTTTAGATTTGATTCCCCTCCTGGCTAGCTCTAATTCTTGTGGACTAGTGACTTTAAAACTTCTGAGAGCCTGCTAAAATGCCAGCACGAGTCTTAGATTTGAAGCTTCCTCCTTCCTGGGCTGTTTTCCTCCATCAGAGAATACTAGTCTTGGCTGGTATTTCCCTGGTAGCTGGGCGTATTTGTGCCAACAGAAGGGTCAGTTTGGGACTGGCTATGAAAGACCATCAGCTTGCTCCGTGTTTGGACGTGGGCTGTTTCTCAAACGTTGGACTTCAGTAGCGCCACCTCTCTTTCAGGATATCCTCTTTGGCCTGTTGAAGCAACTGTTCCACCAGGAAAAAGAAGTCAGAAGGAAGGAACCCCTGAAGGTTGTGGTTATGTCAGCCACCTTGGACCTGGAGAAGTTCTCAGCGTTCTTTGGACGTTGCTCGGTGGTGGAGATTCCGGGAAGGACGTATCTGGTGGAGCAGATCTTCTGTGACGGTCTGGGCCCCAGGGATGTCAACAGCTCTGCGTACATCACAGAGGTACCGACTGGTCACTTTCATTTTATTTATTTGCGGAGCTCTTGGTGGTCTCTGAGCTTGGTTGTTTGCTTGCAGATGCTTCATTACCCAACTAGGTAACATGATGGTGTTACCAACTAAATAACATGGTTTTATTTATTAATGTACAGCCCACTTTTCCTGTAGGAGTTCAAAGTGAGATGGAGATGGTTCCGTTCCCCCTTTTTCCACAACAACAACCCTGTAGGGTAGGCTGGGCTATCAGGGAGTAACCCAAGGTCAGCCAGGGAGCTTCTGTGGGTGAGAAGCATCTTAAACCTGATTCTCCCCCTTGTCCATATTGGAGATTGATAGGAGGGATAGTTTTTCCAGTGTTTTTCAGCTGGAAGCTTTGGGGCCAAATGCAGATCTCATTCGCCAAGAGACATTATTTCTTTCCACCTTTTCCTTCTCATCGAGGGCTTCTTCTGATGCATGGAGAAGGAGGCCCTCCAAAAAAATCATTTTTTTAAAAAATGGTTCATTCGTGATGGGGGTATTCTTCTCCCATGCGGGTGCCCACCAGATCGTGTTGGAACTGCAACTCCCAGAATTCTCCAGCTTGCACAATCCCAGGGAAACTCAAATGACGTCTTCGCACTTTCTGTACTGGGTTGCTGACCATGGCCTGCACTTTGGGACATCAGGTGGAAATTCATAGCGTTGCAAAAGTCTTTGCTAGGCTTGAGAAAAGGAATTGGGGCGGGGTTATGCAAATAAAGAGGTGGGGTTATGTCCATCAGAGGAAGCATCGTTTTCAGTGTCTTTTAATAGGAAGGGGCACAACTGGAGTGTGCAAATCAACCTGACAGTTGTGCAAAGAACCTAGATGTGCTTTTGTATCTTTTCCTTCAGAAGTGAAGGGTTTCTTTGATGCTCATGCTAATTTAGGAGAAGCAGCATGGGTGTCCCTGGAAGGAGGGGTAAAACATCGAGCGGACACAACCATATGATCATGGTCAACACACATAAAAGGGCTGAGATTTCCATTGTGGCTGCCATTTTGACTTTTTTGACCCTCACCCCTGGTTCCATTCCAGAAGCAGATAAACTGTCAGCATCCAAGATTAGTAAGAAGACCGAATGCCCAGTTATTTCACCTTTTTGAGCAGGATTAGTCTTTATTTCTACAGCTTTTCTTTAATCCCCTTAAAAACTATGCATTTGTCTAGCCAAGCAGTTTGGAACAGGGGTACCACAAAGTCAGCTGCAGGAAAGCATCAAAACCTTTCCGGTTTCCAACTGAGTAACCTTTATTGAAAGATTAAGCAGAGAGGATCAGCCACTCATTTTTCAGATAATCATAACAGATTGAAATGGAGGATTGCCTCCTACTATATTTATTAGAATGTTGTTCCGTAAAAGGCGGTTTACAGGGAATCCACAGTGCTCCGTACCAAAGCCAGACTAAAACTTTGCAGAAGTTCTGAAGATTCAACACGCTTTCCAATACCACGGTGTTTCTTTACAGAAGGGAAATGCCAAAGGGCCGATAGGTTGGTCTTCAGTCCTTGTTTCTGGAGGGGAAGTTGTGCTCCTTGGTTGTAGGAAAAGCATCAGAGTCTTGTGACCCCTGAAAAACTGGCCAATTTATTATAGCATAAGCTTTTGTGGACGGTCGTTCGAGTCTTTAGCTCCATGGAAGATTATCCTGAGGGGAATTACATATAGGCTGGGAGGAAAAAGAAAAGAAAAGAATCAGATTGTGGGCAGTGTAGACAGTGAGAACTACTTGTAGAAGGTGAATGGCTACTATCAAGTGGTCATTTTTACTGTCTGCACCTTCTAAATTTCATTTCCCTTAGATCTCTCCTTTTACAATCTCCCTGTTCCTCTATCATGGATGTTTATAAAATACTGTTTTTTGCTGCATTTATCTGATGTAATGGATTAAAAAAAAGCTCTGCTGTGATGTGTGTGTGTGTGCGCGCAGGCGCGTACCTTTAACGTACAGTGTTATTTGACCTCCAGGAAAAGCGTTTGGCCTCCCGCTTTCCTCTGTTTTCATTACTTAAACTGCCCTGTGATGGGAGCAGAGAAAGCAAACCTTTTGTCTAATCTACATGTATCATTTTGGTCCATGTCTGTGTGTTTCGATCAGTGTTTCTCAACCTAGGCAACTTTAAGATGTGGGGATTTCGAC